AATCTGTGAATCAACATCCTAAATATGTCACAGTGCTGCTTCTGGAGGGTCACAACCACATAAAAAAGGAACCAGCACGTTTTACCAGCACTGCGTCCCTGAGCAATGAATTTACCAGCTTTGTCTCCAATATAACAGGATGGCTAGAGGGTTAATTTTACCCTCCCATCCTTAATATCAAACAGCCGCAGGGTAATGAAATGTCATCTACTGAAATATTACTCACATTCTGAGTCCCAGTAAATCAGATAAATGTTTGCTAATGAAATACGTAGCCATGATGTCATTTTGTCACTTCTCAGAACCCAGCTTAGAGAAATGTTTTGATCAAGAAATGTATCGAGGTTATGCAAGAAGGCCCCGAAACCACAAACTCCACCACCGCTCTCCGTCCTCCCCTTGACTTTTCAGATTTCTTGTCAATGACATTTCTGTGAATGTCAAGCCAAACTTGAGTTTGTAAGACCTCCAAATGCAGCGCTACCCCCCCCCCCCCCCCACCTCAATGTACCATCTCTGGTCTTTGTTAGGAAGTGTTGTGTAACCGCACGGAGGGTTTCAGATCAACTCACTTTCTGGTAAAGCAGGAGATGAAGAAAGAGAGTGCCTCAGTCTCTCTCTTGCTTTTTTTCAGCCATTTACAAATCCGGCGCTGCTGCCAGTTGACCAGCGTCAAAGTTTGGCTTCTCTTTAAGTGCGTGTGTGGTCTGTTTACGCTGGTTCACTAGAAATGTGGGACGTCACCCTTCGAAACCTGAATGTTTACACGGTGAATTCTTGGTCAACGAAAAGCAGAAATTAGGATGGACTGAGCAGGTGTGGGGAGGGCTGGTCCTCAACTGACCCCTTTAGTCAGAGTGGGTTTTGTGTCCCAGCGTGTGTCAGTGCTTGCTCACAATTAAGCTAACAGTCTTCCACATAGATGCTGGCTGCTGATAATGCGCTGCAGCTGACATGCCCTGCTGCATCTACCTTTGCATCACGGGCAAACTATCTCTATGCCCATGGGAGGATGACAGATGCAGCTGTCGCTCACACACAGGCACAAACACAAACAGCTTTAACAGCTCCTGTCTGATGTCCTGTGGGCACAATGGTCCTTAAATAACCTCATTTGAGTGTGTGTGTGTGTGTGTGTGTGTGTGTGTGTTTGTGAAGAAATCTCCCATAAAATGTGGAGTAAATAAACCAACAAAATGTTATTCTTGTGGAGGAGGTGAGTGAATTTAAATTGATTTTATGGGGAAATCTGAAAAATTGTGCTCTGAAATGCTAATAATCAAATAAAAGACAGATCTAAGAATTATAAAACATTTTGGAACCGGCGCTAAAATGCACGTGAAACAGGGAAGGGAAAAACAATCATTGAATTATGGATTGACACAGTAAGAGGAATGCTGGTAACATTAAAAAACAGCCCATGTGTTCTTTATTTGGATTTTATTTTCTGTTCCTTTTATTTCTCTTTATTTCATTCACTCTTGCCCTTTTCCTGCATTTTCTCGATTTTAATGTTACCTCGGGCTGCTGATATCGCTGGATTTAGTGAAAAACAACTAAAAACTTTTCAATATTAAATTGAAACCGAGACAGAGTGCTGACCTCAAATCCCCCCCAACCTTTCCTGCCGGCTCCGCTTCTCTCAGCTGGAAAGTACTTGTTTGTATGGCAGTGTGTGCGGTAACAAGACATCTTAGCCATCAAGTGTGCGTGTGTCACTGTGTTTGTGTGGCTGGACTGTACATATGTATTTTCCTGCCTGCCCCTGTGGGACAAACTGTAGGTCTGAGCACTGATCAGAAAGGTCCTTGTGCCGGGTGGAGGCGGTGGAAATCCCCTCTTGTATCGTTGTGTGTGTGTGTGTGTGTGTGTGTGTGTGTGTGTGTGTGTGTGTGTGTGTGTGTGTGTGTGTGTGTGTGTGTGTGT